CATACAAAAGTAATACCCTTTTTTTTTACGTATCATCTGCCCGTATTCTGTGGTCCTTATGACTAGCTGGACTTGCTGACCACAAATGAAAATGAGGATTGCAAAAACCAGTCCTGCATTTGTTCATTTTTTTCTTTCTAGTTCTTCATGCCCCAAAAGCCATCAAATCCATTTTAAGGACCACTTTGACAAGCCTGCTTTTGCTAGCCCTAGTTTCTTAGCCCCAATCTAATGTTAGCTCAAAGGGGAGGGAGCCGTGAAAGTGTCTATCCATACGTATTTTACCTTGTGCTACCTGTCTCTTTCCCAAGGTCTAGGGAAACTACTGATTTCCCACAATTTTGAGAGGTACTGTTTCTTACAGATCCTTTTCACAGAACTTGACATGACTATTTTTTGCTAGAGGAATGAACTAGTTCTCCTGAAATCTCATGGATACTCTCTTTGTTTGCGTACCTGATTTAAAAAATTCTAGCACCTACATCTTCAAGTGCTCATTGGTGATTTACTACAGTGATTCATGGTAAGACTTACAGTTCTAAGGAAAATCTGTCCCTTGGGATTCATCCACCTTTCCAGAATTTCTCATGGCAGGGCAACCGTATGCCACCGTATTTAGGAAGCAACTTATGGTAAATAAATGGCACACAGTCTGCATTTTCTTAGGGCATTTCTAGGAGCTCAACAGTATTGGTGTGATAAAGAAAAGAAATAAAGGACTTGCTGTAAAAAGCCAAATGTATGCGTCCAGCCACCTCAGATTAATGAAATGCTAGACATTAATCCGCCAGCACACATGCCTGTGAATGGTGGTCACTAAAAATAAATACTGAGAACTATCAGACCATTTGAAACAGGAAATTGTTTAACAATGCTGAAAATCCAAGAAGTTATCCAAATGGAGAGCTGCTGAGAATGGCAAACTTGCAGAGGCAATACCCATGTCAAACAGCATATTAAAAAAAAAAAATCTCATGCTGGACACAGACACCTGACAGACACCAAACCACTGAAGACAACACTTGTGGTACTAGGTAAAACAAAACTATTAAAAAAAGGGGAAAGATAGACTGCCATGTCAAAACTTTGCAGGATGAAGAGATATTCAAAGAAGATTGGACATTTTACGGTGTCATAACCGTAAGAGATGAAAGGTGGTGATGAACCACCACCAAAGTGGTGACAGCTCTTGGAGAAATAGTAGATACTAAAATCAATAAAGCTACTTGCAGATTAAGGTATGAGTCACCGTGAGCAAATGTGACCAAATATGGCCCAGTGTCATTTGTTAGCAGCTGCCTGTCCCATGCGTCTCTGCAGAGAATCATTAGAATTCAAGAGAAACATGGCAACAGAGGCAGAAAGGGAAATATCAGAGTTTTTTAAGAGCTGGTAAGAAAGTAATGGGTGCAAACCTAAAATATAGGAAGATACACAAAATTATGCATGGAGTGGAAAATTCATATAAATAGAAGCTCCTTGGCAACCTCCTATATAACAGAACAATTTATTTTGGGAAGTGGATAGATTTTTAGTAGGGCTCATCAACCATTAGTTCACAGTGGATGTATCCAGATATTAGCTCTACCACATGACTTCATCCTCTGTGAAAAAAGGTCAGAGGACGTTTCATTATGAATTTAATGAAACCAACACTGCAAACTACGAGTGTCTGAGTTTCACCCGGCCCGCAAATGACGGATGCTGCTGCGACCTGGCTCTTCTCGGCCTCCTCTCTCCTCGCCTTAGAGCTGCCAAGAACTGCCTCATATGGCACCCTGACAGGCATCCCCAGCAAACGCAAGTTCTCCAAGTGAAAATGGAAAAATCCACGGAGGGATCCTGCCCGGCCCCTCTCCCCGGCCGGCCTGGGGGCGGGGGGCGCGGCGCGGAGCCCGGGCCGCCGGCAGCGCATCTCCCGGAGAGGAGAGCGGCCGCTTCGCTTTCGTGATAAAAAAAAACCCCAAACCCCGCCACCCCAAACAGATACCACCGCAGCAGAGGCGCCAGGTGACCGACTTCTGTGGGAACCCCCTCGCCCGGCGCCCCTCCGGTGCCGTCCTGCAGCACCTCCATTTTGGCTGCGGCCGGTGCCGGTGCCCGGCCCGGCTCCGGTGCCCGGCGCGGCGAGCGGTGCCGTCCGGGGGCCGCCGGCGAAGAGCTTCTCCCGGGGCGCGGGGCGCAGTGGGCGGCGGAGGGGCGGCATCCCCGCCGCCCCCATCCCCGCGGCACCGCGCCCCCGTTTCCGCAGGACGGTGCCTCCTGGGGGGAGGCGGTCGCCGTGGCAACCGCGGTGGGGGCGGGGGGGAGCACCGGGGGACACCGGCGGGGGGAGCCCGGCCCGGCCCGGCCCGGCCCGCGGTGCCCTGCGCGGCGGCTCCGCCCGGCTGCGCGGTGGGGACGCCGCCGCCTCCCCCGCGGCGGGGCCGGCATCCCGCCTGCCGGGGGGTTCCCTGCTCGGCGGCGCTACGTGCGAGCCGGAGCGGGAGCCCGGCGGGAGGCGGGGGCGGCGGGATCCGCCCTCCCTCCCTGCCTCCCTCCCGCCCGGCGGGGCCCCGGCGCCGCAGCGGGGCCCGCGGGGCGCCGCCGGCTCTGCCGCAGGGAGCGCCCGTCGCCCCCGCGCCGTGGCCGTGTTTGGGGGCTCGGCCGGCCGCCCCTCGGCTCCGCCGGGGCGGGGAGGAAGGGTGGCTCCCGGCGGCCGGGATTCCCCGGGAGGGGAGGCGCAGGCTGGCTGGAGCGGGGCGGCGGGGGCAGCGCGGCTCCGTGCGGACCCTCCTTCGCGGGAGCGCACTGCCCCCGGCAGCGCGGGGAGCGGGGGGGTGGGCGATGCACAGCCTCTCCGTGCAGAGCCGGGGACCCCCAGAGCCTCGCTACCTGCGAGCACTGCTGCTACCGCCGCTGCTCCGCCAAACTGCTGACTTTCCAGAGCTTATTTTTAGCCCGGAGACTAAATATTATTAGCTACATTTCTACGTAGGAAGAATCGGAAGCGAGGGGTTGGGGGTGGGGGGGGGGTGTGGGGGGAGGCACTAGAGATAGGGAGATGAGCAGAAAGCTTATCCGAATGATCTCCAGTTGGGGGGGCTGCGTTTGGGTTTCAGGCTTGTCAAACACACACACACACACGCACGCACGCACTCACATCATTAATTATAGCAAAGTAGATGCGGATATTGGATCATCAGCAATACATGCACGGCTCTCCCTTTCAGCCGTAGGTTGCGTACACAGAGGGGTCAGTTAATCTCCATGTAGGTAAAGATCAGCTGCGTCTCTTTATCTATGTAAGATCAGTCGTGCACAGTGCCAGCTAGAGCTCAGCTGCATCTCTTTAGCTATGCAAAATCAACTTGCATCCTTAGCTAGGAAAAAAAAAGAATCCGTCGCATCTGCATCTCTAGGTAAAGATCAGTTGCATCTCTTCCCAAAGCATGCACACGCACATAGACGAGATTCCCAGGTTAAATCAGGCACAACTTAACTCAACTCGTAGTGCAGTCTCATCCAGCTTCTCCTACCTTTTCTAGTCCTCACACACCGAGCAGCCAGCAAGGTAACAAAACTAGGCAAAGAGCAGGCACCCATCCCCGCACCACAGAGAGAGAGGCAGGACCCGGAGGGGGCCGCCGAGGGGGTTCCCCCTCCGCTTACCTTGGTCACAGCTAACACCACGAGCAGTGGCTAGATCGCGGAGATAAATACTGGCATTTCCCAAAGTTGACACCGTCAAACCAACCCCCGGAGCTTGCAAGACTCTTTTTTTTTTTTTTTTTCTTTTTTTTTTTTTTTTTTTTTTTTTCTTCCCTCCTCTCTTGTTCCTATTCCAGCCCGCGCCGCTAGGAATTCAACTTAGCCCAGCTCCAGCGGGGCGAGAGGGCGGCGGGCGGGGAGGGGAGGGAGGGGAAGGTCCGGGGAGGGAGGGGGGGGTGGTGGGTTGGCGGGGGAGGGAAGCCGGTGCCCGGTGCCCGGCGGCTCCCGGAGCCCGCGGGGTCGCGAGGCGATGCGGAGCGGTGCGGGGCCGCCTCCCGCCGGGGCCCCGCCGCCGCTGTCCAGGGTGCTGCCGCCGCCGCCGCCGCCGCCGCCTCCCCTCCCCGCTCCGCTCCGCTCCGCTCCGCTCCGCCGCCGCGCCCGCTGCGCGCCCGGGCCGCCCCGAGCCCCGGCCCCCCGCCTGTCACGTGCCGCGGCCGCGCCGCTCCGCGCCCCCCCCCCCCCCCCCCCCCCCCCCCCCCCCCGCCGGGGCAGCCCCGACCCCCGCTCCGCGGAGCTGCCCCCCCCCGACGGCCCCCCCGTCCCCCCCGACGGCGGGCGTCAGGCGCCTCCCGTGCCCGCCGAGGGAGACAGGGCAGGAGAGCGAGCCGGGGAGGGGAGGCGAGCGCCCGGCGGCAGCCCGGCCGCGACAGCTCCCAAGTTTTCTCTCTCAGACGCGGTGTTTCCATCGCAGCCCTAAATCAAAGAGCGCCGCAATTAAAGTTACGCTGTCTAAAAACACAATTCTCCCGGCCTCCGCGGGTTACGCGCTTTGGTGTATTAAGTACTAGAAAGCCGAGCCCGTGATATCAGATACTGTCGTTAAGCAACATCTCAAGCTTTTGTTGTTGTTGTTGTTTTGTTCTTCTCTCCAGTTATTAAAAATAGGCTTTTTTATAGGTACTCACCATTGTTTCTTTGCTGTCCTGGAGACAGAAGTGTCTTAAAATCCAGTCTCTCCAACAGATGCTGGAAGGTAATGTGTCTTGTTTGAAGTCATCATGTGAGAACTTCTGCTTTGCTCAGTGGATCGCCCACCACTTGGTGTGACTTATGAATCTAATAACCCTTTGCAATATCCGCAAGCTTAAACTCTCCACCACCTTGGTGCCTACAGAAGACAGAAAGCAACTGGCAGGGAGTTTTAAAAACCTATAGATTTACGCAAACGCCTTAGCTCAGAGTCACGTTTCCCTCTGAGTTCTTACGTGATCTTAATGAATGAGAGGGGTTACCAACAACACACTATAAAACGTGATCGCAGCCGCCTCCCAGGAAACTGGAGCGGGACAGTAAGTTCCCGAAGAAAGTCCTGGCCGGCGGGGAGCGCCGTGCACTGAGCCCTGACTCCCACCGCCCTCCTTCCACCTCCCGGCTCGCACCTGGGGCCGTGCAAGACGAGCCGGCTCTGGAGATTTGCAGTGAGGACAGGTAAGTAACCATTTGGAGTTTTTTTGTGTTTGGGTTTTGGTTTTTTTTTTTCTTTCTTTCTTTCCCCGTGTGTTTTTGTTTGTTTGGGGTTTTTTTGTTTGCTTGGTTTTTTATTTGTTTGGGTTTTTTTAATGTCACGTTCGCTCTGCGCTCACACGGGAAGTGCTCCAGGGACTTGTTGCATACTAGGTCCTGCCACAAGAGGAGCATGGCACAATTGCCAAGACAAGCTGCCTTCGGAAACCCCTGCTTTTCCCCAGCCGCAACTTCCCCGCACACTTTTCCTCCCCCTCCTCGCTCTATCCTCACCGGGAGGCGCATCCCGGGGGTGGGCTGCCCCGCCGACCCCGCACCGAGCCCCCGCCGCCGGCGAGGCGGAGGGAAGCCGGGCGCATCCCCGCGGTCTGTCTTTTCCTTCCCCTTCTCCCCTCCCCCGGGGCCCCAGCAGCGTCCCGGCTCCGCCCGTGATTTCTGTGGCTGGGTCCTGTCGAGCCCGCTTGCGTTGCGAGAACACCCTCACACCTGGGCGTAACTGCGGTCTCTGTCCCCGAGAGAGGTGGCCGAGCCCCGGTATTACTCCTGTCAAGGCTCACAAAGTCCTCGTCCCCATTTTGTCTCCGTATCTCGAGTTTATTCTCAGTGGCTGCCCCGCCTCCCCGGCTCAGAGAACCCCGCGGGGAGGGGGTGCGGGCAGGGGTGGGGGGGGGGGGGGGGCGGGATTCTTCGCCTTTGAAGGCGAACTGCAGCCAACGGAACCTGGACTTGCCAAAGTTTGTGGGTGCTGCCTCTCATAACAAAAAAAAAAAAAAAAAAAAAAAAAAGAAAGAACCAAACAAAAAACCCCCAAAAAACCCCACCCAAGACCGAGAAGATCCTCGTCCACTCCCGTTCTCTCCTGATTGACTGTTGGAATTGCATTTACGGGTCGTTTCTCTCCAGAGCGCTCGTTTCTCCCGCCCCCCGAGTCCCAGGTACCTCTGCCTGGGAGCCAAAGCAAGCAGCCTCTTCCATGACAACCATCTATGTTGATCCATGCAATAACCAGCAGATGCTGCCCTAAGACTGGTACAGCTGGTACTTTTCTGCCTCGGCTGTCCTGGGGGCAAGGTGTTAGAAGGAAAGTCAAGTGGTCTCCAGGAAAGCTGCCTTGGGGAGAACTGCTGAATCCCTTCACCTGCACCACATGCTGCTGTTTGCCATGTACAGGCAGAGCCCGTCAGAAAGGCTGTTGCTGATGTAACACTGCACCCGACAGATCATCCTATCACTGATAGGGTGTCACCTGAGATACAGCCTTAAGTACTGATCTTCAGTTAGGAAGCTGAAGTTTTCCTCCAACAGCTGGAAGCACTCCTAGTTAGTGTTAATACTCATCAGGAATACTGGCTTTTAAATGGCATTAGCATTAAAAAAAAAAAAGTGTATATATTTCAACAAGTGGACTTGCAGTGCTTTCTCCCAGTCTTCTAAACAATTTGCTTCTGCCTCTTCCTCAGGGGAGTAAAATTATTTGGTAGTATCTACTCTGGGTAGCAAGTTGCACAATTTATATTTGGATTACATAAATACATACCTAAATCTTCAGAGTTTCTGACTTTGTGGCATCCCCAGTGGTTTTTTATAGAGAGAACGTTCTAAAGATGCAATATGAGTTAAAACATATTTCTACATACTTATTTTATTGCTCCAGAAACATAGTCTCTCATTGAGAAACTAATTCTACCTGTAGCACTTGTAAGAAAGTACTTTGTCTGCAGCACTGTCCCTACTTCTCATTTCGTTATATTCTAGATATCTTCATTTTCTCATGAAGGTCTCAGCTGTTAGAGATGCCCAGAAGAAACTTTTGCTGGATCATAGTATTATACTGATGTAATAACGTTAAACTAAAAAACAACAACAACAACAACAACAAAAACAAACAAACAAACAAAAAACAAAACAAAACAAAACAAAAACCCCAAAGAAACCTTCCACAAAATCTTCCCAGATCCACAGCAGGAATTGGACATCTAGCCCTGTCCAGCTGCTTTTTCCAGAGCAAATTGATGGGGTTTGCCCGGGGTCATGTTGAAAGAACCACAAGCAAAGATACTCTTTAGAGAGCTAACTGGAAGAGCTCCTGGTCAAGATTTCTGCTTAAGCACAGGACTCCACCCACTTCCCTGGGGATAGGTGAGAACTGATAACCCATCTCATACTCAACAGACCCAATTAAGCACGTGTTTGCTGAGGGGATAGTTTGCTTTAGATTGCTTCGATGTAGTTCATGAAATGAATACGCACAGTAATCAAGGGAACGGTACAAAAGCGTATGGAAGAACAAAAGGTCATTGGTAAAACAGGTAATACAGGATGCTGTGGAGCACGGGAATTATCTGGCAGAAGAGGAGGAGGAGGTAGCATAAATCATAGCTCTTTCCTCATAGTGCCATTCACAGGTGAGCGAACAGCCCAAGCCATTCTGATGGACCAGAGCTGAAGTTGGGACATCAGTTAACGCGCACAAATGATGGAGGAGAGTCACTCCTCTGTCAGACAGCTCTGAGGGATCCCTGCAATAAAGGCATTAGAAAGGGGAGGGAGTAGAATTAAACCCAGATGCCTGTTGAATTTCCAGACATTTCCTTTCCCTACATCTTGTTTCCAGCTACGGTGTTTAGCGCTAGAAGAGCTTTTTCCTAGGCCATGGGAGAGCCAGCTGTGAAAAATCACTTAACCCGAGTAGGTGTGGAGGGTTATTTTTCCTTATTACTGTAGAGGGGCACAAGTGACTCAAAGTTACTCACTTGACAAGCCATACACTTCAGTAAAAGCTGGGACTAGTGAGTAGAGTTTAGCCCATCGTTTAAAACTAATAATCAGGTGATCCATTTACAGGGTGTTGGAACAGGATAGCTGCTAGCGTTTTGCCAGAATGACAGGGCACAGCATTTGCTATATGCAGGTAGTTCATACATATAAGGCAATGTACATCTCTTGTTCCAAGTCTGTTTATCTTGGATTTACATTGTTACCAGATGAAGTATACAACTGCAGGACTTGACTTCAGTGGGGACTACTCATATGTAAATAGTGACATAACTGTTTAGCAGATGAGGCCTAATTAAGCGGGAAGAGGTCCTACATTTTCCCTCTCTAAGAGAAAACAATGTGAAGAAGCTGATGCAGGAGCATTGCTAAAAAGTCACAATGCCTTAAACCAACCTATGAAACACCCTGAAATCCTAAGGAAGCTGCAAGTGTTCTTTTCCTCCCTTAAAATACCTTAGAAAACAATGAGCTATTACTGGTTGGCTTTTTCACGTAGTTGAAAGGCTACCAAAATGTGTGGATAACTGCTAAGCACATGCTAAAAGACACCTTCCATCCATTATGCACAGCTGCTCCTTCAGAGATCACTGAAAACCCGCCTCAGACACCAACGTTAGCAATCTGAGCAGAATCAGACGATAACAGTAGCTGTCAACTTTACGGAGATGCTTCTGAAATAAGAGCTATGTGACATCATTGCTAGTGTGAAACGGGGCTGCCAGCTTCTCTCCATGCCAGCAATCTAATCATGTGTTTGAAAGAAAGGTCCCTCAGGGTCATGGTGTGCTAGTTTTGCTGGTAACCTCCTGCTTCTTCAACAGGCAGATTTGGCGCCTGCCCTGCTACTGCCTGGAGGGTAAATACCAGCCTCCCAGTAGGTATTTAGGGTAGCCTCCCATCAGGTGTTGATTTTCTGTGCCTGATCTCCTCCTCTCGGAGATTATCTTGCTCTGGTATTTCCATCTTTCCCCTGATCTTCGTGCTGCAAGCGTTAGCAGTCTTTCACTCTGCCTCCTCCCTCCCTGGAAGTTTTCCTTTCTTTCTGAGCCTACTTGTCTTCAAACTGCGTGTATTCCATGCTGGTAACATGCAGATGAACATCGTAGTCATGATCCCACTCAGACACTAAACAAGCCTCCCACCAATGCCTTGTCCTCCTTTAAAGTGCTAGAACATTTCATCTTGCTTCTAGTCTCCTAAAAGCACCAGGAAATCCTCTGGAGTAGGCAGGCAGCAGCGTGTGTGCTTGTTGTGTTTGTACCTCAGAGAATGGCTTGTCATGGGCTCACCTCCAAGAGCATGTTTGCAGGGAAAAGGGGGTGAGACCCCTGCAGTAGGGTGGTGGGTCCATAGCCAGCAGAGAGCTTAGGCTCCCACCCACCTCAGCCCACAAGAGCGGGGCTTCAGTGCCACCATCAACGGGAGGTATTTTGCACGCTGACTTCTTCTGAGATCACAAACTATGCCAAGCTCATATTCACATTTGGTAAAACCAGGAGAGAGACCAAAGGGCAGCTCAAGCTCAGCATTCCCGAGGAAACCCAGCACTGCTGCAAGTCAGGGCCAGTCAGGGTTTCCATCATCCGAGTTGTTTGAAGCAAAAACCTTGAGACAGGTGCCTTGGACAGCGTTCCTGAACTGTGGAGGCAACAGCACGGGCTGGAGTGGGAGGACCTGTTGGGGTAATAGTGGGTCTATCAGCATTGGGTCAGCCACCAACTGGCTGATGCCATGGAAATCCTTTGCTCTGCACTTTTGGCCAGCTCTAGGTACCCCACATCCCTCTCGCAGCACAGTGGGGCTGTAGCAAGGCTTCAAGAACAGGTCTGAGAGTTTTGCATTAATTATTTATTTGACATCCACAATGTAAAGAAACACCACTGTAATAAAGTTTTGCTTAAACTATTCCTGTCATTCATGGAGAGGATGCATTTCAGGAAAACTTCCGGAATTAGGATTTTGTTTTTCTCAAACTACCACAGAGGCAAATATAGTTCAGTGCCTGCACAGCACTCATTTAGGTTAGCTGCAAAAGACAGGAGATGAGATAAATGTAATGGAAACTACTGGCCCATGCAAGTTCTCCTGGATGACCTGAGCAAAATGAGCCACCGGGTATCTCTTACTAGAAGAAAACCAGAGATAGGGAGAGAAATCAGAACCTGGAGAAAAAAGAAACATGACAG